GGGGGGGTGATTCCGATGGTGACGAATCAAGCCATGGCAGTGGTGGTGTTGGTGGAGGACCTCTTGTGGACCCGGCCAGGATGCCTCTTATTTCTTCGATGCTTCCACAGTGTCAGTTTGCCGACGAAAATTTAATCCTGGCCGCCAGCAGACCCGCCAGTACAATATCGCTGACGTCGATCCGTGGGTGATCCAAAGGATCAACACTTTGACGATCATGACTATGACCCAGGAAGTGCTGTCTCGTCCGCTGCCATTTCGCACTGAGTGGATCTTCCCCAGTCACTTGTGACCACTCCAAGATCGGATCCGTACTGCAGCCATTTGATCACCGGCCAGAACGTCCGTGATCTCACGACAGCTCTCCCCTGGAACGTCCTCACTGGTGCCAACATTCCTTACCCCATGTCGTTTGTTATTACGGTCGACAGTTGCTTGGGATTCTTGATCAAGAGATATTCTGCGGTGGAGTTCCAGGATCCGATCGCTTATTGGGAGTCGACTCACCGTTTCCCAGTCTCGCTGGTGTTGGTGCGCAGCTATCTGTATCTGGCGCTCTTTGTCGTTGAGAGGAAGAATCGCCGATCTCACGCTGACGCCAGGTAGAAGCAAATTCTGCAACTCTTCTTGATCGCCATGCGCGAAGGTTGGTGTGATCTGGATCTTTTGCTGGATCCATACTTCCTTCACTTCCCCAAGCGAACTGATGAAGTGGCCTAGTATCCTGGTATTGAAGCGCGTAGTGCCAGCCTTGCGGATCCCCAGTTGCACCGCCGCGAACCCGCTGATCTGATCGAGGCTCTCACTGAGTGGGATGCTGCAGATCCATGGAGTACCCACTACCGACTACACCATGGGTCATCCCGCTCGCTGGATTGCGCGCCTCACGAGCTAATTCTTCCACATGGCAGCCTTGAACACTAACGGGCCGCCTCGTCGCCCGCAGCAGTGATCCTATCACCTCTCCATGCATGCATTTCTTCCAGAACATCTCCGTCAACTGTAATAGATGTTATTTTCTCTCTGATCTGGGTGCGACAGTATTCTTTGGTTCCGATATGTTTCCAACCACGTTATTTCGTACAGATCTTCACTAATACTTCCACACTTGCGGCTCATCATTTGATCCATATATTGCCCAGATAATATAGTCCTGGATCCACGCTCGGACTTCGCTTTTGCTCACTCTGATGTCCGCTTCTCAAGTAAACCTCTTTCCACTTAGATCCCTAATCATCACATCATATACAATATTATGCAGACCATGTCTTCCGATCTGCAACCTCCTTGCAGATCCATCAACCTTCAATCACACCGATGACCAGCTCACCAGTGTGGTTCCAGATCTCACGGTTTTTCGTGAGATTGCATCACACCAAACAGGTTGCGATTAGTCCGATCTCGCGGGATCTCATAGAGAAGGGCACCGCAGTTGATATCTGCTTTATCCACCCAAGTTGGGTCCTTATATCCACATAAATGTACCAAAACGTCTCGGTAGATCCGTCCATATATAGTCCTCCTGCCAGTTCTCATATAGGAAATTTGAGCTACTTCGTATTCATCTGAATCCGGATCCTCGGTCCAGCTGGCTTCGGGTAGGAGATCTTCATCGAAGTCCACCCGACCTCCTTCTGACTTCTCTAGGCGAGCTACCGGTCGATCTTAGAATATCTTGACCAGTTTGACGTTCGAGATTTGTACTTCGGGAAGATGCTGTACGTTGATCTTGCGATATCCAGCTTCACTGCATATTCCCCAATCATCTCAGCGAGGCGAAATAGCTCATGCCATAAGTGCACCAGTTTCTTCGCATATCCCTCACGCACTCGATCCAGGCACAACCAGGCTCTGGATCCAGACTCCGCAGGATGAGGACGTACAAGATCATGATATGTGTCGGCCAGATCCGCGATAGCTTCGCGTAAACGTTGGTTCACTTGTTCCCGAGATTATTGGCAGTACTTTTGTATCCGATATTGCCATCTTGGATCTTGATCATGCCTGCAGGTGCTCCTCACAAGGACCACCCCTTCCAGAGTAGATCTAAGATCCCAACCGTGTATCATGTAGAAAGGCGTTTCACCTCGGATCCGATCTCTTGCGTTATTGATCGCGAAGGTGTGCCGTTCGACATATTCGTCCCAATCTCGTTGATCCAGATCCTGTACATACATCTTAAGAGTCCTGGCAGTCGTCTGGAATATACGTTCTGCAGATCTGTTTGCTTGGGGTCGATAATTCATAGTGGCACGATGGCGTTGACCCAGGATCTTGTTGAAGGACTTAAAGAAGTCAGCATAAAACCTGGCACTGGATCATGCCGGATCACCTCCCTCGCACCAAATCTGAAAAAAGCGCATTCTTCGTACGTCTCAGTGATCGTTTGTGCAGATCTAGAGACGCAGGCCTTGCCGATCCCATATCGATCAACGAAGCTCAACAGCTCTGTATTGCCATTGAAGGAGCTAGGCAGCGAAGGTATGTGATCCATGGCGATGTTCTGGAATGAGTATGTTGCCTGGAGGTTCCCCGGTGAATCACCCTGGATCCGAGGTCGTCCTTTACCCATTTCACAATCAACACATTCTCCCACATATCGCTTTACACTCTTGTACAGCCCTCTCCATTGGAAATGGTCACGAACCCGATCATAGGTACGACCGATTCCGTGATGGCCACCCTGCAAGCTCGTGTGGTAGTGATACAAAATGTCCTGTTGAAGCATCTCAGGTATCACCAATCGCATCGACTTGTCTCGATCCACGGCGGCATCACTAGTCGTCGGGCAATAAAAGCGTAGATCCGACTGATCCACTTCTTAATTCATGGCAATAGATCCAAGCACCTTGACATCTTCTTGTGTCAGATCCCGAATCTCTCCGACCAAATACTTCTTTAGTCATGAGATCCATGACTCTCCATTTTGGGATTGCCGGATCCGCTCGATCCCCTGTTCGCTTACGACTTCTTCACGCAATGAATCTGGATCAGATCCCATAGGTACTCCTGATCTAGCTTTAGATCGGGTCGTTAGAGCAGATATCTGGGCGATCTTGCCTTTGATCTTTACTATCAGGATCTCATCCAACCGGTTCAAAGTTACTAGATCCTCGATCTCCTTTTCAGACGGGACCTCGATCCCACATTGTCGTTGCAGAGCGACGCTTACTAAGCTGTCCGCATACCCATTCCATTCTCGTTTAACATGTAACAGATCGTGACCCGGCCATGTACGTAGTCGATCCAAAGCCGCTGGTGTAATTGTGTCAAACCCGGTGCCTTACAATCAATCTTACCTCGTGTTGTCGGATCACCAGGTTCAAGTCTCCGCAGATCACCAGACGTTGTGGATCCAGATCCTCCAACAGATTCACACATACAATAATCCATGGTATTACACCTCGTTCACGTCAAGCCTTCGGCGTA